GAGAGAGAGAGAGAGAGAGAGAGAGAGAGAGAGAGAGAGAGAGAGAGAGAGAGAGAGAGAGAGAGAGAGAGAGAGGGGAGGAGGAGGAGAAGAGAGTTGGCCACTGGGTAGCGGGGTTTGGGGGGGGGGAGGGAGGGAGAGCGAAGAATGTGGTGTTCGCTGGTGCGCTGCGCGAGCAACGCAGCAGCTTCGTGGGAACTTCTCAGGAAGTGAACCTTCTGACGAAGGTTCCCTTCAGGTTCTTTGGGCACTTCTTGCGTAGTTAATCAATCCACTTCAATCCCCGTCTTCCCTGCTTCGCGGCAACACAGAAGCTGACTGATTCACAGTTTTGATTAACTGTTCATCAGCTCTCTCCTCCTCTGTCAGCATCCCGAAGCTGCGTGTGTGTGTGTGTGTGTGTGTGTGTGTGTGTGTGTGTGTGTGTGTGTGTGTGTGAGAGAGAGAGAGAGAGAGAGAGAGAGAGAGGAGAACCAGAAGTGTGCATTGTACCTGGGGGACATTATTGAGGGCATATACTAACACTGTCACCCTTTTCTTTTTACTCGTTTATGAACTTAATCGGGTCCAGATGCATCGAGCTTCGGCCGTAAATGTGGTCAGATGCGTTTAACATTCATAGAGGTAGTGTGAGTACGCCCTGAGAATGGATTGTCGCCGAGGACTTGCGGGACCACCACAAGCTCGAGAGCGTAGCGATAGAAAAGTGAAAGTTCTCCGTCAGTTCCTTGAAGTCTCTGTCTTCGATCATCGCGCTCCTCCTTTTTCTTGTCAGTGACGTCATCATCAATTATTACTCCAACGAGACAGCGTAGTTAGTGTAATCCTCTTTTTTTTTTTGTATTTTTCTTCCCAAGTCGTTCTTTCCACCCCCTTTTTTTTTTATGTGTTTAATCGATTCTCTCTTATTTCCATTTTGTAGTTCGCTGAAGAAAAAAGGGCTCTTCAGTTTTTTTTTTTGTTTGTTTTCCCCTCCCTGGTCGGCATTGGCGATCATTAATCTGATGAGCGCTTGGAGATCTTTCCTAATTGGGGGCGGGTGGCGTGAAGACACTTTCAATTTGCGGTCGTGGTTTTTTCCAAAAGTAGAAAGTGAAGAAAGTGAAGGAGGATCCGATCGACTTTTGAGGAGGAAAGGATATATCACTCCAGTTGGCGTAATTGGTCGACGTGGCATCATCTAGGGAAACCCGGGTTGGTAGCGTCTGATTGACAGACCAGAGACGTTGATCTCGATCTTTCGCCGCGATCCCAGTCTGAGTGAATCAACGCCGAAAGTTCATCTCATCCATTCTATCAAACTTATCCCGATCTATAAGCGGCGAGGAATCTTCGGAGTAAGATCACATTCTCTCTCTTGTGTGTTTTGTGTCTGCGTCTGAGAGAGAGAGAGAGAGAGAGAGAGAGAGAGAGAGTGTCCGGTGGATTTCTGTTTCCTTGATTGTAGACTGTTCTGCTTGTCATACGTGGGGCAACGGTTGCTCCTTAATCGGATGACAGAAGGAGGAGGAGGAGGAGGTGGAGGTGGAGGAGGATCTTTTAAGGGATACGGTCCCGGTTAGGGTCGAGGTCTCGGCTCAGACAGCAGCTGATTGGCTGAGGTGGAACCTGATCTGTCTGCCGTTTATTTGGGTGGTGTCCCCCAGCTGACTCAGGACGTGTGTGGGATTGGACACGTGGCCATTACTGGGAAGGACACGTGTTCCTAAGCTGAGGTAGCACGAGGAGGCGGAGAGACACGTGTCAGGCTGTCAGGGAAGGACAGAGAAGAGGGGGAGCGACACGTGGCCAGCTGTTGTGTCTGTACCTGGTCTACTCTTTCCTCTTTTAGCAGCGCCTGCCCGAATATTGCACAGAGGGAGGCGGTTTTGAATAATTGGTTTTTGACATTTTGTTCGTCTCGTTGTTGTCTGAAGACTATTTATTTCCTCTTGCTATCTGTTTTCTACTCGTCAGCACTTCTTAACCATTTGATCGGATTTTTTTTTTTTTTGTTCAATCGAGAAGTACGTGTCTGAAAACTGCGCGCCATTTGGTTATCTCATAATTTTTTTTTTTAAATCTCTCCGTCGTCTTCTGATTATTACTTTCCCGATTTGGGAAATGAATATGTCAATTGCATTCGTACAACTAATCAAGGTGTATTATTGACATAATTTATTGTCATCTTTTGCCCCCCTTTTCTTCCTTCCTCCCCCTCCCCCCCGCCTTTCCCTTCCCTTCCTCCTATTATGCGGTTGATTCTGTATCTTACTCATTATTCAAAATAAGTAATAATTCCACCTTATTTTATTCTATATCTATATTACTTCATTCTCAGTTAGTCATTTCTGTTCTTTTCCATCCACGTCCATTCATCCATCCATCCATCACTCAATCAATTGATTGCTTCTCTTCCTATCAATCCATTCCAATCAATCAATCAATCAATCCACTCCAATCAATCAATCAATCAATCAATCAATCAATCAATCAGGTGTTAGGTGAGAGTCATCATGATTCTTTCGGACGATCGCGACCGTCTTCGGACGCCTCGGGATCTGGACAGACTGCAAGCGCTGTCATCCTCTGGCAGAGAGACAAGTGGTGGGCAGCCGCGCTGTAGAAGTTCATCTCCTTCCTCCTCTACCACGTTGAAGATGTGTACGGACGAAAGTGAGGAGTACTCGATCGAACGACGGTCGAGATCTCCTCCCGCCTGTTTATCCCCTTCGAGATTCGAATCAGACCCTGTCAGATTCGATTCCGATCCTGTCAGATACGATCCTTACGCTGTTCGATTCGACCCGCTTCCTGTCTGTAGTAGTGGCCACTCCTCCCCTCCCGTTACGTTGAATCTGATGATTCCTTCGTGGAGGCAATCAACGGCTGTGACGACGACGACGACGCACCCTACGCCCACGGCGAGCAAACCTCAGGCATTGCGACCTCAAGCACCATCGGGACCGGGACTTCAGACGGCTGCGCTGTCATTCAGATCAGGTTGGTACCTATCGCCAATGTTTTTCCCGGTCGCCTCCTCCTCCTTCTCCTCCTCCTCCTTCTCCTCCTCCCCCTTCTCTCCCTTCTCCTCCTCCTTCTCTCCCTCCTCCTTCTCCTCCTCCTCCTCTTCGCCTTCTTCTCGTCGGAAGCTTGGGGTCAGTTCATTGCGCCATCCTTCTCCTAGTCACCTCCTCCTCCTCCTCCTCTTCTTATATTCCTCTCCTCCCTCTTCCTGTCCTCTTCTTTCGTTTGGTTCCTTCCTCCCTTCCTCCCTTCCTCCCTTCCTCCCTTCCTCCTCCTCCTCCTCCTCCTCACTTTCACCCTTCATCTCCTCACTCTCTCGGTACTCCTCCTCCTCCTCCTCCTCTTCCTCCCCCACCCTTCGTCTTCCTCCTCTTCTGCTTCTTTCTTCGCCCCCTCCCTCTCTTTCTGTTCCTCTTCTTCTTCTTCTACACTCAGATGGTCGGGCGGGAAAAATGGTGGTGGTCCCATCAGGCGTCGGGATCTCGGAAGAAGGCCCCCTGAGGAGTGCCTGCTCTTACCAGCACCCCTGGCATCCGCGAGGGCGGAAAAAAAAATTGCCAGGAGCGCAGCCTAGCCGGAAGAAACGCGTCGAGGTCGAGGGGTGAATATGCGCTATCAAAAAAAAAAAAAAAAGTGCATGAGGAGATTTTATATTTTATATATTATATATATATAATGTTGTCACAAGAAAATCAGAGCGCAAAAGCGAAGAAAACAAAAAGAAAACAAGGAAAAAATGAATTTGTGCTTTTTTTTTAATCTTCGTCCTTGCAACTCATATGTGCATGTACATGATATATATATCGTCACAAAGATATCAGAGCGCAAAAAAGCGGAAAAAAAATAAAAATAAAATCAACTCATTTTTTATCTTCTTACTTGCACAACTCCGCCTGTTCAAATAGCAGTCGCTCAACCTACATCCGCGTGGGCGGCCTTGTACGCAAGAGGTTCTGAACAGGGGGAGTTGTAAGAAAGAAGATTTAAATAATAATAATAATAATAATTGTTTTCTTTCCGTTTTTCTTCGCTTTTGCGCTCTCATGTCCTTGTGACGATGCCTCTTGCGCTCAAGGCCGCCCACGTGGATGTAGGTTGAGCGGCGGCTGCCCCCACCCCCCTGTGTCATATCGACCCACTTACACACAGCCAAAGGGCAAAGAGGCAAAGAAATATATATATATCTTCTCTCTCTGTGCCTACGGTTTACCGGGCAGTTCTGTTTGTGACGATATATATATATATATATGAAACTCCGACGAAACAGTTTGTCACAGCCCCTCGTTTGTTGTCCTCTTCTC